GTACTTAATGCTTCTTTGCTTCAGTCTTCACTGAAAATTGCTCCCAAGCCTTTGCGCCTAGAGTCAGGGCTCAAGGAGTAGAGGAACTATCAGCAATGGAAGAGCATTTAGTCATGTATCTCTTGAAAAATTTCAACCTGAACAAGTCCATGGGATGAGAGGGGATGCACCAAAGGGTGCTGAGAGAGCTGGCTGATGTCACTGTGAGGCCATGCTCTATCACCTTAGAAAGGTTGTGGAGTTAGGGTGTTTCACTGCTTGATAGGGGCACTGCTCGATGGGTGAAAAACTAGCTGGCTTGTTGGGCTCAAAGGGTATTGGTCAATGGAAGTATACAAGAAGTTGTCATAAACTGAAATGGAAGGTTTCAATTTCATATGAGGAAAAATACTTTTGGAAATACATTTCCAGGGTTTTAGAAAAATGCAGTGAGATAAACACATTACCCAATCAACAATATTTTGCATTTGGCAGAGTACCATTTTCCCATACTAAGTTATGGTACACTAACTTAATGCACACAAATGTATTTGGAAATAAAAGTCTTTTATTATCATGGTACATATAGTTATAAGTATCTAACAAGCTTATAGAAATTATTTTTAAGTAACACAGTTGCAGTATAAGGTACTGCTTAAAATTCTTGATTAAGTACCACAATATTAGTGTTACCAGGAATAGATACCCTATTCTTGATTATGCAATCAAGAAAAACTATTGAAAATAATATTCAGAGTACAAACTACTTTTAATCAGCAGTTAAATACCAAGATATGACACTGATTACTTCGTTCCTTTAATGACATCTGTAATGGATTCCAAGTGCTCTGCTTGATTGCTTCCTAGCTGATCAGGATTCTATTCATCACTTGGAGCTGCTGGAATTCTGAGGTTTCTTGGAGTTCCTTTTCTAAAGGTTTCAGCATTGCTGCAGCTAAAAAGCTGCAGTGCATGCTTTGACACAGTCACAGACTTTACACAGAGTTCTCCATGACAAAATATATTAACAGAATAGAGGAATACTTGGTTGTTCCCCCCCCCCCACACCTTCTTTTCATTGGCAAGCATTGATTATAAAACAATGTAATATGAGAAGCCCTACAGATACCAGACAATGCATGGTAAAATATAACTGAACTCTAGCTGACTGTAGCATTCTTCAATAACTATGCAGCAACTGTAACTGTGATACATTTTCATTAACACTGATTTTTGCCAGTTTTAATACAGCTGAAGCTCGCAAGTGATTTAAAAGGCTAACAATTTGAGATATTAAGATAGATAAGTATAAGCCAAATTAACTATTATTAAACTTAAATCAATGACTTTTCTCATGTCATTTCCAATTTTTGCCTCGTGAAAAAATGAGTTTTTAAACCCTTTTAATCCTTCTTTTTATTGAACTAACTTGGTAAGGGAATTGACATAGCAATTATTCCTGGAGAGACTCCACTGTGGAGAAACACGAAATGATTGCAGTCCCATTCTGCTACAAACATGCTTTATGTAGGTCTAAACATCCTTGGCTAGAACAATAGTGAAAATACTGAAATAACTCAAGGAAAAGAAATACTAGTACTGATTTTCATTCCTACAAATACTTATGCATTCAAGTAATCCAAAAAGCCATCGACTGTAAAAATTCTCAGATTCTGTTTCTCTTCTTCTTTAATGTAGTATTCCAGAAAGACTTCTTACATTTTTCAAAATTTTGTTACAACAAAATACAAGTGCTGACAAGTTTCAGTATTCCTTATATAATTTGAAAATGAACTCTTTCCAAGAAAATTTTCAAGTTTAATCAGCTGCTGACTTGGCTTTTTATTTCACTGTGGCTTCAGTTTGAGTTGTTTAAAGGGAGAAGGTATTTGAGAAGCATGAAATTTCAAGCACAGTATTAGTATCAGTAGTGGAGAGAGACTTCTGCCATGTGATGCTGGCATATAATGGCTCCTTTTCTTTTATGGGTGCAGAAATACATTAGTATTTCACTGAGAGAAGAAAGTTAAGAATTTATTTGTTTCTAACAGGAAATTATCTCAATCCCTACAATTTAGCATGAAATGTGGCAGAAAACTAGAAAATGTGACTGTGGTACTTCCAAGATTTCCAAAAACTATCACTGCAAGGAACGTGGAGAGGTTGCAATTCCAGCATCAGGGGATTACCATTTTGATGATGCATATGCAACAAATAAGTTCTTATGAAGGCAACATCTTGGTTTTTCAATGCCAAATCTTGCAGTGTCTCAAACGAAAACAGCTATTAACAGGCCAGACCAAAGAAATTGTTGATAAATATCGTGGTAAGACATTTTTAAAATAAGATGTGAGTTCTCTCACTTTAAAATATATTTTCTATGCATTTCATTTAACTCTTGTGTTTTGAAGGTGTTTCTCCTCCAGGGGTCTAAAAGTAAGTGAGGAAAAAAAGGTAGGAAAAAAAATAATTCTTGAAAAGCTTGATATTTCACATCTTCCAAAATATACATTTGAACAGTTTAAACTAAAACATTATTTCAAATTCTTTTTAACCATACAGATTTAGAGTTCTCTTCAATAAAGTATTTTTCTGACTCAGGGCTTCTACCTGCCTTGTTGTATCACATATGCCTCCCTGCCCTTTTGGGCAACTAGCCAGAGTGCTGATCTACAGGTATGTCTTCACTGTAGAATGATTCACTTTTCTTTCAGCCAGAAAATAATTTCAGCCAGTTCAGACAGAAAGACAAATGGCTGACTGTAAAATTGTATCTATATGTTTACACACTGAGAGCACAGCCAGCCGTTTATATAAATACAAAAGCAGTAATGTAATAAGACAATTGTTCCAGTTGAAGATTCTAAAAATCTTTGCACTAATGTGTTTCCTTAGCTATTTTATATAACTACCTGGTAACAGTTACATAAGATATTAAAGAATATAATTTTAAATCAACAAGAAATTACTGGAATCTGAACTAAGTACTAGTACCTGTAGTACTTACAAATTATGAGCTACGTTTACAGTGGGAGAGTTAAGTAAAAGATGATAGGCCAAGTGAGGTAATGAACTGCTCTTTCTTGCAATTTCCAAGAAACTGCAATAGGCTGCTTCAAATATTTACAAAATGCACAGCACATACATCACACAGAATGTAAGTGAGCTCAGCAGCACAATCTGTTCCATTTCTTTTACCGGTTTGTTAGTAAAAAGAATATATGATAATATTTTGCCAAGCTCTAACAGACTTGTGTTTAAAATATTATGGAAGTCTCAGACATATACTGGTAAAAGAGATAATAATGACTAAAGAGATCCATTATTAGGAAAAAAACGAAGTTTGCAGCATGCAAGTTTCTATATATTGCCAGACTCATTTATTGTATCGAGCCATTAAGTACCCAGTAGAAGTCAGAAATTTGAGCTCTTCGTAGTTGGCACTTACTCTGTTAACGGAAAATGCCTTATAATAACGTTTAAAGTCAACACAGGCAAAAGTATTCAGATAGAACTCTGTTGTTTTACGAGTCCTTAATAAATATCCAAGAAAGATGAAGTTAACTTTTGTTCCTGGGTTACTTAAATTTGTTAGGGATAAATCCTTCTCAACAGGACGCAGAGCATCTATTATATGTCCTGAACCTCCCACCCCTTTACAAGGGAAACTAACAGCAACACGTTTGGAACACTTCCACCAAATAAAAGTATTAATTAAAATACTTATTACAACTCTACTATGGGAAGGCAAGATGCTTCTTATGAAGAGATTAGCTTATGATTCTGGCTGAGAATTCCGGCTGATGGTTCTGGTTTGAACCTACACTTTCAAAATTAATGGAAGAAGATAAGCCAACAAAACAAGTACATAATGACAGAGTATATAATATGATGAAGCGACTGAGGTTATAAGCTATAGATTCTACTAAGGTTAAATTCCTTGTTTTTTATACTGTTTTTATCACTAAAACTCTGTTCTGGTCAAAAGAAACTTTGTGGCCTATAAATAATGTCAGTGAACTTGACTCACAGCTAAGGTTTTAAAATCCACTTTGTGAGAAAGAAGGAATTAGTGAAAAGTCTGTCACACTCAAAATCTTACTGTGCAAACAAGAATCAGGAAGCACAATATCAGGTGCAAGCGAAGGGGAAAGCATTGTGTAAAGTAAAGCACAGAAGAGACTATCTTAGCAAGCTCACTTGGTAGATGATTGTGCTGTCAACTACATTGCTAAGGCGGTTTTGCAGGTCTGCTTGTTATCAAAGCTGAGAAATAGAAGACACTTCCTTTACACTTGCTTTTTTGACCACCTGTCAACTGGTAACTGGTAAGATCATTGTTTTATTCACTCCCAATAAGCGTATTTATTTACAGTGGAAAATACTGAGGGTCTGTGTTAAAGTTTTAACGTTAAAATTTTGTAACACCTTTCTAGATGTTCTTGTTCTTCCTCTATCAGTACGCAGAAATACACAAATCACAGAGCTCTACAGCAACAGGACAGAATTCTACAATTGGAATTTGCTGACTTTTAGCATTTTAAGAATTCAGACATTGAAGTGGTTGAATTTAGACAGTTGAATTCAGACAATTCTGAGCTCTATCCAATTTAGGTACTCAAAAAGCCATAGCTTTTTTTTTTTTTTTCCCTCTTGTCTTAGCACTGTGTTCTCAATAGCTAGAGTACCTATTTAACTTCTGAAGGCAATTTGTTTAGAAGAGAGAATATTAATGTTTCCTCTTAGGACTTCTATTTCAAAGACTATTTCCTTAGGTCACTGAAAGGAGCAACTAATAGAAGTACACAGCTGAAATGAATGATACAGGAAGTCAAATGAAGAAAGCAAAACTCAAGAATAATCTGAAAAGCATTTGTTTTTTCCAAACATGAAAACAGTGGGATACGAAATCCTATAAAAGAATATTGTGAAGTCAATGACATTAAACTAGCCTTGCTGCCAATCCGAAATATAAAGAAAATGGAGTCATGATCCCCTGTCTACACTTTTAGCTGCCTTACCTGGCATTCCATGAATAAGATCTCCACACAACACAAAGAACTTAGGTTTCGGATTTAGCTTGTTAATGGCTTGCACAGCTTGCTCTGTTAATTTGATCTCTTCTTCCCATTCATCACCTCCATTGTCGCAGTCTCCAATTGCCCAAGCTTTCATCAGTCCAAACTGAGGATCTGCTCCTTGGATGAAGTAGAAAGGCCCCTTCCATTCGTACTCCTCATCTAAACAAACAAACAAAGTGAAGTGCTATAAAAGCTTATAAAAAAAGAATGAAAATTTCCATACATAAGTGCATTGATTACGCTTCACCAAAATAAGTCGAGGACACTTTAATAAAGGTATACAATTCCGCAGACAATCTGAGAAAAAGTGCAAGAAGAATGCAGCAAATAGTGCCGGAAATTTGAAGACTGCCACATAGCATAACAGCATGTGACATAAGATTTCTGTTGATTCGTGTAAGACTTCAATCATTGCTTCTTTAACTAACAAATTAAAACATACACAACACATTCTATGGAACCAGTAGACTTGTCCTTAAATTATTACTGAGTTAAAAGCTTTCTTGTTCTTATAATTTTAGAGAGAAGTTAGATGCCACATATTATTTTGAGTTACAACCGACGACATTGAGCAGGATCAAGGACAGCAAACAAATAAAAATCCCAGCAATGTCAGAACTAGCAGCAACAATTAAAATCTTAATTTAGAACTGCCATAATAGCTCGAGACCTATAACAAAAACGTGGGAACTCAGAAACAAATTTACATTTGTAGAGCCTTGAAGAGATGAAGGGGACAATTTTCTGTATTCCTGTTTCTCTGATACTATGATAACAAGTACCACAAAAGAACTGTGATAGGTAAGACTGACTGCAAGCACATTAAGGAAGAAAAGCACTGGGCAAGTAAAGCTACATTTGGCTACAAATTCAAAACCAAAAATGGGTATCCCACTTTCTGGACTGTTGTCTCAATCCCGATTTAAAGTACAAATATGAGTACACTGTGGTTTCACTGGTTGTTTGAACGCGTTTATTTGCCCCCTGAATATTTGGGTTAGGATAGCTGCATCTGGCTTTCACACTTTTGACTATGTCTGACTTGATTTTATTTTATACTTTTACTGTTATTCTTCCTTTTTCTTTTTTTAAACAGCATTTCAACTGTTAAAAAATTCACTGCCTACATCAATCTATAGTTGAGCCTAAAGAAAAGGATATAGTGAATTATATCAAATTAAAGTATAATCCATAAATAACTTCATGTACTATGTCAGTCTGATTTGAAATACAATTTGATTATAACACTAGATTAATCTCCCATTAACAGTACATAAGCAAAAGGTATGTCCACAGCATGGATTTACTTTTGGTTTCTTTTTTAAAGTTAAGAGAAAGTGTCATTCTAGAGCTGGACCACTTGAATTTTGGCTTTCCGGGTTCCGGACTGCCCTGTACTTTGTAAGAAGGCAGGTATGTTTCTTTCAAGAAAGATTAGAAAACACAGGTCAAAATTCATCTGTTGCACTGTGGATATGGATAGGCTGAGGCAGGGTAGGGAAGAAGTAATGTAGACAACTTCCAGAAGCTGCTGGTAGTTGTAATCTGTTGCCAGGACATTGGATCTTTTTGCCAAATGTAAGCTTTTACATTTTATTTAATGTAATATTTAATTTCTAAATAAAATGATTTATAATCAGTTAACATTGTCTATTAATTCACACTAGCATTGCCTTGCTCTAAATAATAATCACATTTTACAGATGGAAACTTTTAGCTATTCATTAGCTTTTAATTCTGAAATGAAATTAACTTTTCCAATTATATAACTTATTCAGAGAAGTAAAATGATCCATCTATCCATGAGTTTTCAATAGAAGCCTTATGGAACTGGCTGCATGACACAAAGTAATTTAGGTTTTTATTTTGTGTCTTGCATGGAAAATGAAAAATATGACTGCCATAAAAATCAGCTTATGTGCTACATCAAAGGTATTGTTTGGGCAGAGAAATCAACTTATACTTTTTATAAGCTATAGAAAAAATAAGCTCAGGAAGCCTGCACCAGAAATCTTTCATGACCTATCTGAAAGAAAGCTAAAAAAAGGTAAGGTCTGAAACAGCAGCTTGTTTTGGAGGAGTAGCACAATCCTCAGACTCATCAAATGGATGCCCAGAGAAAAAGTTGAAATCCTTAAGAATCCCTGTCATGTTTTTCAACACCTGTCCCTTTTCCAGCAACTTGTAAGACATATTGTCCATCAGATTTCCTCAAATCTACTTGCTTTGCACTGATTAATCTGAAACCAGTAATTTTACCATAGTGCCCTAAATATAACGTTTTTTGTTTTGTTTTTGTTGTTGTTTTTTCCCTAGGAACTGCTTAGAGAAGACAGCTAATCTTGTTTTCAGAGACTGTGTTTCAACTGCGCAAGTCCTGTGTACCTCTTTCTAGAGCCCCAGAGGCCATGTCTGCTGGCTAGCAGCAGTTGGTGCATCTGCAGCACTTCAGGTGCCTGTTAGGCAGGCTGGCTGGCACAATCAGCAGGATTGGACTGTGTCCCAGGTGAAAAGAAGCCTCATCTATAATGCTTGAACAGAGAGAGAAGTCTGGCAAGCAGACCATGCACTGTCAGGCAGCATGCAGAGCTAAAGCGAAATAGGTTGCAAGGCCAGAGCAGGGCTATTCTAATACAAGCTTCATGGACTTTTTTTCATGCCTTATATTCACACTAGTACAGTAGCTCTCTAGGTTTTAGTACCTGAAATTTTCCAAGACTGAGCACAGATGCACTGGTGTGAGTGGGTGGGCAACGGACACGTGAGGCAATGAGAAAGAGAGGGAGAGAAAGACACTGGTAAGATGAATTTGAAAAGAGAAGTTCCGTACACAGAATCAAGAAGTGGCAGAAGAAAGGAGAAACAGAAGATGCAGGGGTGGAGGTGAGGAACAGCGGGGAGAAAAGGAAAGAGATAGGAGGTGAAAAGAGAAAGAAACTGAAAACGATGCAGAGGGATACGTGCTATATTCTCCTTTAAAAAAAGATGAAAAGGAATAAAATGAAGAAAGGGAAGCAGTAACGACAGGAGAGATGTAGGAATCAGGGCTGCATAAATAACATTTACCTAAAAAGTTTAACTAACTGATCTTGGTCAAATAATTTGGTAAACAGCTATTCCTGTGGTAGATAATTCATCAAATAGTTACCAAAAAAAAAAAGTAAGGTTGAATACATATTTACAACTTCTTGGCTGTTATTTGATCCGTCCCACTAGAAAACCTATTTTTAAAAAACCCTAGAACTATTTAAACAAAACTGCATTACTGATGTGGTAGTTACAGATTTACTTAAGCAGGAACAAAAGAGTATATGGAAACTTTGGTTTCTACTGACATTATAATTTAGCTTTTGTTGATCGGTAATATGTTTTGATTCATATAAAGCACTATAACTACATGCAGAACACCACAAAGTAAGTTGTGCTAGCCCAACAGAACTGGTGTAAACTTACATGTGCGCCAAGTCTTAAGCCCTATTCTGAATTCAGCTGTTCCAAGAAGTAACTTAATTGCCCTCACTAGTCTGCCAGCAGACACCTTTGTAAAAGGTTTTCCTTATTTGTGCAAGGCAAAATATCAGTCCAGTTAAACTGTTTAAATTGTTGCAACTAGAGCAACTGATTTTGCTTAAAATAACACAAGAGCACTCCTGTGAGATTGCTCCATTATGGCAGGAGGGTAGCAATGACAAACAGAAGTCAAATGAATCTTCTACCAGCATAGCTGGATCCAGAAATCTTTCACCTAGTGAGTGATTTATTCACAGGCCTTAATCTGTGTTCAGATCATTATTCCCAAAACTTCTGCTCCCTGCTTCTCCCTCACCAACTGTTCGTTAACATCCTCAAGCAGAATAGGTACATGCAAATGAACCTCATCTGCTTATGTGGTAAATCAGACACCACAAAAAGCTGTCTGAACCAGTTTATCGGACTTTGCACTGAATCACAAGAAGAGCGCTCAGCAGATCATTCTGCATGCTGGGGGAGTGCCAAAGTCAGGCAGAGAGTTAATAACAAACAGCTCTGGGCAGGAGTGGTGGGAGGAGGTACAGATGTTTTTGCAGTGATCATCTAGTCATTATCCAGGTCCTAGATATAAGTCCATAAGATTTCAATTAAATAGCACAGACAGTTGCTATCTTCCCTTCAAATGAAGCAAGCAATGGCTGTTACGGGAACGACAAAGGTTTCTCTCCAGCTAGGAGTTTCAATTGTCCTGTCCACAGGTCAGGTTTATTTTTGAAGCTTTTACATGAGCTACATAGTCATATCAGATAAAGTACATGCTAGGTAGATCAACAGAAGATTATGATTCAATTAATATTTTTTTTTGCCTTCTACCTTGCATCACAAAATTTAGCACAGCTGAGAACACCAACTGAAAACTGACTCTTCATCTCTATGAGTATAGAAGCTGTTTGTGACTTTCTAAAATAACCACAGCAATAAATAAATATATAAATAAATAAATGCAAGCACCAAGTAGAAGTCAGCCGATTTCTCAGATAGAGCTGGTGCCTGAATTGTGCCCCAAAATGCAAGAATTACCAAATTGATTTCAAAGTATTGGATTACCCTTTTAAGTTAATAGTGTCAATATAGAATGTATTTACAAAAGATTAAAAACAAACAAACAAAACAATTCCCAAATGCATTGCAGCCCCCCATTCTCATATCTGTTCAGCCAGTCCTCCCACCACCCTCAGTATTCCTGAACATAGAGAATTTCTTAATTTCTGCTCCAATATTTTTAATTCAACTGCCTTAAGAAATGGGCCGAATGCAGAGTAAGAAATTCAGTTTTGCAGAAGATATCAAGCTCCTTATGGAGCTTTTATCTCTTTTGGAAGAACTGACTTGGACTAGCAACACAAACTTGAGTCTCTCACACTACAGAGGGATGCCATAGCATCCTGCACTGCAGTGTGATTTCTCATTCTCTCTCAACCTATTGCAGCTTCTGATTTACATAAATAATAGTCAGCCTCTCTAGCATAATAAATATTTCTCAGTAATAAGTCACATTTCTCAGACATAGTTAAGGCCTGTTCGGAAACAGGACAGCAAGTGCTTTAAACGCTTGTTTAAATAGGTTGTTGGGGCTGCATAAGATTCAAATATTCTGTTTTGGCTGACTACATTTGAAGTTAATCACG